CTTTCATATTTACATGAATAGAACTCAAAATTCTAAAATCGCACTCCTATTTTATTAATAATGAATGTAAATTGCATCTCTTAATATTGTGCGGCAAAAAAATAAAAAGAAATTAGGATTATTAATCTTAATCTCAAGCTTAAGATATTAAAAAAAAAATTTAGATCCATAATCAATTTGTTGTGAAAATTAATCCGCTTCAACATTAGTTAAGTTTTGACAGCTTTAAGCTTTAATTTATGTTACATTTTTTTTTATTTTTAAATTAATAAAATTATTTAATTTTGAATAATGTACTTTTGACAAGAAGAAAAATTCAATCATATTGGTGTTTATCAATCAATCCATTCAATTGTTCTTCTCCATATATTTAGATTGCGACAATTCAATTTGTATTTTCAATGATGAAAATTGTCATAACAAAAATAAGTTTGTTTCGTTATATATTTATCAGTAATATTGATTGAAAGAATAATAGTATTGCTTCTTAAATAGAATCAATATTTGATAATTTTAATGGAATTAATTTTTTTTAAGACATAATTAGAGTTACCTAATTATAATATAAAATCAACCTCGAGCCAATTTATGAATTATGTGCTCTCATGTCCAAGCCCATTTAGTGTTCGAAGAGAAAGGGTACATACCACCCAATTCCTATGCACTTTATAGTGTAATATTCATTACTCTGCCTTAATCAGGAAGCTTGATGCATGTTTTGGGCAACTCGACCCTCACTATTTGAGCAACTCAGTCCATTTGGGGCGGTGGTGCGGTGCAACGCCGCACTTATCAATTTAGGTAAACTACAATTTTGCAACTTTTTCAAAAAATTACTGATGAAATCTGTATTTTCTCACCGGTCTTGACTAGAAGCGCTGTCATCTTTATAACTGGACTAACTTTCTCAAAAATAAAAAAAATAAATAAAAAAAATAATAGCTACCACAATTTTTTAAACATCATACTATTCTTCAATTATTTCAATAAACTACATCCACCCCAAACTGACCCTTAACTCTAAGAGTTCAAACTTTGATTACTTAACACTTAGGTTGAAGCCAACCAAACCTAAATTGAAACTCAAAACATTGATGAAAACATCTAAAAAAGAGCTTGAATCCAAGATGCAACCCAACTATTTAACCAAGAGATTAGCTACCTTGAGTTGACAATGATATCCTGTCTGGAGTCAGATTAAAAAGTTACGAGACTCCTACCTACAAAAGAGGTGAGGACCCTTGTTAGAAGATTATAGTAAAGAAAACTTGTATCTCGTCATTATATGATTATCAACCCTTGATTCATCAACACATTTAAGCAAGACACAATTCCGTCTAGATACTCTTTCATCATATTATAAACAAATAAAAATACAACAACAACAAAG